TGGTAACCCGTTGTTTTATTTTGAAAATTTTTTTTATCATCAGTGAAGTTTTTTACGTCTGCTGGAGACTTATTTGTGTTTTTCTCCTGTGAATATCAATTTATACTCTTGGCTAACTTTTTCTATTGGGATATTTTTCTGTCATTTTTATGAGTTCTTTATATATTAAGGCAATTAACAGGGTCGTGAATGTGATAGGTATTTGTCACGAGTCTGTAATTTGTCTTTTTGTGTAAAACGATTTGGGGCACATAGAGCATACAGAACTCTTACTTTCCTTGAGGTCAAATCTTTTCCTTTGTGACGTCTTCCCTTGTTTGTATGCTAAGAACACAGCGGCGTGATGAGACCGCCTGAGGCGTCCTGGACAAGCCACAGGCCCCGGGAGCCCCCGTCCGCGTGCGAGGGGGCGGTCAGGGCCCCCGTCCGCGTGCGAGGGGGCGGTCAGGGCCCTGTCTCGGCAGCCGGTGCCACTGCCACTCACTGCAGAGTCTCCGCTGGCTCTGCCCCCGGGTCTGGGCTCAGCGTGTTCTGCAGAGACATGCTTGCAGGAGACCGGGAGGGGAAGGGGGACGGCGTGCCTCTTGGTCCCTCGGCACAGGGGGTGGGTGCCGCCAGGGTGGTGGCCGGGCGGCCGCAGCTCCCCACTGTCCTGTCCCGGGACCCGCGGCAGCGTGGGGAGCACGGCACAGGAGAGCCAGCAGCCCCAGACCCGGGCGCCCAGCACAGACTCGCCTGGGAAACCCCGGCTCCTTCCCGTGCCTGCCCGGCTTCTGGCTCCCACGGACGCTGGGCTGTCATGCTCTGGGCTCTGTGGCAGCGTCCGCCTGGCTTCTCCGAAGTCCACGTGTCGGAGGCCTTGGGGCCCAACCCTCCCACCTCTGCGTGACCGTGACCGCGACCGCTCACTCTGGTGCCAGAGCTGAAACCGTGCTGATTCCCAATGTTCCTGCCACCTCCCCCTGGACGTCCCAGGCTGTGTCCGGTCCCGCCCCTCACGACCCGCCCGGCTCGGTGACCGCAGGCTGCCCCGGCCCTCCGGGTCAGACCGCACGGAGCCCTTCCTGACACGTTTCATCCGCCGCGGCCCACGCTTCGGGACGGGGGTCCCCGCTGCTCCTTAGTTCCTCCCCCCGACCCCCTAGCTACTCCCAACCCAGCCGCCAAGGGGTTCTTTTAAAATGGACGCTGGAGCCTGTGCATCCTGCCTCAGAACATTCCAGAAGGAGAGCCCTGAGGAGGCCGGCGAGGCCCCGTGTGGGCCGGCCAGCTCCCG